CAATTTCTGGTATACAGTATAACATCCCAGTCATACATATATATACATACATTTGTTTTCATATTCTTTTTCATTAAGGGTTATTACCAAATATTGAATATAGTCCTCTGCTATACAGAAGAAATTTTTTAATCTATTTTTATATATAGTAGTTAATATTTGCAAATCTTGAACTCCCAATTTTATCCTTTCCTACCCTCTTTCCCCCGGTAACCATAAGATTGTTTACTATGCACAATGTGCTTATTTTAGATAATATTTTCCGGTAGTGAAAAGATTGAACATTTTCTTAGAAATAATAGTAATAGAGTATAATCTATGTATTTCTTACAGTATAAAGTAAATTACCAGACATAGCCCTGGATATTCATGATTTCATCTAAAAAAGATCTCAGTTCATTCAGTGAGTTTTTATTGTCTCTCTGCTTTATGACTAGCCCAGTACTAAGGCATCATAGATAGCACTTAAAATATGATTTACTTTTAAACAGCATTTGCTGTAAAATTATCTTGGAATCAGTCCAGTGGTACCGAAAAGACCTCAAAGGTAGTTTAAGAGTATGAACATCAAGGGCAGTTTTATATGAGATGGCATTGTAGTAATTATCCCACAGTCTCCACAATTCACAGTTTATTCTGGATTTTTAACTCAATAATTGAAATGCCTTTTCTACTCACTGAACACCTTTTTTGGGAAATTAAGTAATACACTTGCTTTTAATCCTCATGAACACTGGTTCTAGTTTTTTAGGGAAAACAGTCATGCTTAGATCATTTAATACTGCCTTTTAAGGAAGTCAGGCCCAGACTCTAAGTGATTATATTAAGTGTTTTAAATTCCAGACTAGAGAGATAGCATTTCTCATTGTTGTTGCTTTCAAATAGGAAGCATAACATTTTATTAAATTATTACGGCAAATCACTGACTAAAATAAAGTTTAATGAAAGTTCTCTATTAGAAGAATTTAACATTTTAATATATGACTGTAATATAGCACAATCATTTCACTTCTGTAAGTAAGGCTTTAAAATTATAAATGGCAGTATTCAAACCAATTTTTTGCATTGAAGCAAGATTGAGTGCAAAAGTAACTAGTTTTTTTATATATGTTTATTGCCTTTCCACATATATCAAGATGATAATTTTTCTATGAATTGTTTCTTTTTTAAGGCTTTTTTAAAACTTTTTATGTTTTACTTATTATTATATTATTTAATTATTTTATTTTGGTGGGGGGAGGTAACTAGGTTTATTTATTTTAGAGGAGGTACTGGGGATTGAACCCAGGACCTCATGCATGCTAAGCAAGCACTCTTACCACTTGAGCTATACCCTCCCCCTGAATTGTTTCTTCTTACTTTTTCTTATATTAATACTTTAGAGTGCTCTAAAGAGCCAGCCTTCAATGACACTGGCTGGTATCAGACTAGGTAAAGCATGTGTCCAGGGTCCTTCCTTGGCCCTCTTCTTACTTGCCACCTCCCTGGACTTAGGAGGTACAAGGCTATAAGGTCCTAGCTCCAAAGTGAAATTGGTTTTCCAGTCCTCTGCTCATGTCCCTCATGAATAGATAAGCATCCTACAAAACCACTGCCTTACTTACAGAGACCTTTTACTCAGATCTATACTTCTCAAGAATATAAATTATTGCTTATAGGAGTCTTAACAGTAGACTCAAATTAACTCTACCATTGTTTGCTATTCAGGTTAATGAGCCACTGCTCTTGGAATTTGACATTAATTCCCAAAGATTCTTGGAAATTCTGAGAATTAACAGATAGTCATAAGTGATCTGCTTATTTACACACGTATACAACCCTTTACCAATATGTAGAACGAAGTATTAGGGAAGGGTCATACTATCAATGTATGTGTTTGCTACTTGTAACACTTAGTGTTCACTATAGGTGAAGCCCCCTTTTAGGTACTTTATATATATTAATTTATTTAATCCTCATAATAGTTCTCTGTGGTAGGTACTATTTATTATCCCTCTTTTGTAAAAGAGAGAGGATAAATACCTTTCTCTAAGTCACACAATTAGTAAATAGTGAAGCCAGAATTTGAACCAAGGCATTCTGGCTCCAGGATTGGAATTGGAATCAAATACTTTCTGAGACAGATTGGGTATCTTTGACAGTTTCCAGATACGTGTGAAGAAACCAAAGCAAAGAGCCCCCGTCTCCTGATACTCAGCCCAGCATCTTTGTACTGTAGTGCAAGTGCTTCAGCATTGTTCATTGAAATGCTTGGATCAACCTTTTTCTATCCAAGCAGTAATCTCTGCAGTAAATTCAAATATAATAGAAGCAATGCCTCTGTGATCCAAACTGGAACACAGGAACATTGTGGGCTTTCCCACTTGACCCTAAGGAAAAGATAGCCTTAGATTAAGCTGACCGAATGGTTTAGGTAGCTGGTTGACCGTAGACATGTTGTGGTAACTCTACCATTGTTAATGGTCTGAGAGATACTATTTTGTGGTGGCATATGGCTGGTTTACTGTTTTCTCTTGGTATGTTGGGAAAGGTTTGAAAAGAGTCAAACTGTAATCTAACTGTCAAATGATAACCAATTTTTTTCATATAACCCCTGAGGGATAGTACAGTTGTCAGCACTGGGTAAACTTGAATATATAGCTTTCCTTAGTGGATCTGCCCCCAACGCCCCGGGCTACTCCCCCTCACACAGCACGGCCCTGGTGTGGCACTTTCACTGCAGGGCCAGCCCCTGTGTCATTATAGAAACCTCCTCATCCCGGCTTCTGTAGCTGCCTCAGAGCCATAGTCCCTCCAACTGGTCTCCTGAATACTAGTGGTGCTGTTACACTTGGACCAAACTATAGTAGTAAAACTAGTCTCTTCCTAATTCAAATAAAAAGCTAAGCTTTTAGATAAAATTGTCCTGAATCATCTGTTTTTCCCAAGTATGTTATTTGAAACTTTTGGCATCTGCTATTTAGACAACAAAATCAATGAAGACATACCCAACAGAAATTAACAGAAATATTGCTAACATCCAGTCATATCTAGTTCAGCAGCTTGTTTTGTTTGTTTGTTTTTCAAGGATACATGTTCTTGGCTGTGATTTCATGTTGCATATTTATGATCTGTCTTCTGTTAGAAAATGCCAGTGTTTCATGGTTCTGCAAAAGCATGAATTTCCACATAGCAAGTTTGAGAAGCTGTGTTGAGCTTTGTAGGGAGACCTTTATTCCAGAAATGCTTTGTAAGATGGTTTGATAAATAATTTTTTAAAGTAATGACAAAAGATGGAGACCCCAAGTTAGAGGAACATTGAGAAACACCACTATTAATTTCAAAAATCTTAAACTATAAGAGATATTCAGCATGAATAACTACCAACAGCAAATCACTGTAGGGGGGAGCTTCACAGCAGAAATTGTTCAGTAGAAGACTCAGTCCTCACATACTGTCGGCTCTCCCATCTCTGGGATGCAAAGGGCTGGCTGTACCACTCCATTTCATTAAAGGGACTTGAGGCTCTGTGGATTTGGGTGTCTTCGAGGGTACAGTCCTCACATACTATCAGCTCTCCCATCTCCGGGATGCAGAGGGCTGGCTGTACCACTCCATTTCATTAAAGGGACTTGAGGCTCTGGATTTGGGTGTCTTCGAGGGTATTAGAACCATTCCCCCGTGGATACTGAGGGATTGCTGTAATTTTTTGTTTTGTTTGTTTACAGTTTTATCATTAAGTCTCCACTTAAAATAGGCATGATCTATATTGTCTGCATAGCCTTGGCAGGACTGGGAGGCAGAAGGACTCTCGATGAGGCTTGCTGACCTTGAATTAAACGCCTGTCTTCCATGGGCAGCCTGCCCAGTTTTGAAAGAGTGAGCCTTCCAGGCATGTTCTCTAATAATAGAGCTAGGAAGCCCTAACAGGAACAGAAACATTTGGAGAGCATCTCTCGCTCTGACCAACTCTCCATGGAAGGTTTACCCTCTTCTTTTCAGCATCCATTCAGAGAAAAAGTCGCACCAAAGAAAAGTATCTAATTTCCTTCATAACAAATTCTAAAACTTTCTTCAGTAATATGCTGCTATTCATATATGAAGAGGTAGCCAGCCAGAATACATATAATTAGAGGGTTTTTTTTTCTGTTCTTGATGTTTGTTTATAGCCTATTTTCCACATTTTTTCTTTATATTTTCCACATATTTTTGAAGTTAGCTATCTGGAATTAGGAATGCAGTCTGTAATTTGAAAAGTAACCTCTTTACAGCTTTTTGATTGGGATAAGAGTTCAAGAACTAATTGGACTATCTTCTGTATTATTAGAAAATGTTTTAGGGTAGCTAGTATTTTTTACACTTGAGGGGTGGTGTCTGTATATTTTATTTCACTCTTACTGAAGTTTATATTGGACCATTTCTTAGAAGAATAGGGAAGTGGGAACTTTTTTATTTATGAATTTCTTGGTTTTCACTTTGCTAACAGAAAACTTTGTTATAATACCAAATTCCTTTTTTTAAGGAACAAAGTATCTGTTGTATCTGAAGGAAAATTTATCCTTGGGCGTTTCGTGTCCAGTTTTTGTTTAGGTTTGCCAACTGTGAAATTATATACTCTTTTGCCATTTGGTACAAGTTGGTAGATCCTTTTTTCTATCTGTATAAATTTACTTATTCTAGGCATTTCATATAAACGAAATCAAACAGTATATGGTGTTTTGTGATTGACTTATTTCACCTAGTGTAACGTTTTCAGAGTTCATTCCTGTTGCTGCATGTATCAGTTCCTTTTTGTTGATACATGAAGTATACTTTTATGCATAATCAGTTTTATCAGCCCATTTATAGTAAGTTACCCTTTATCATTAATTTTAAATACCACTTTTATTGTACACCAGATTCTTAATATACAAGGGTCTGCTCCTGCAATAGTACCATACTGTTATAATGAGTATTTTGATATCTAGATGAGAAAATCCCATGTTCTTTCTAAAATATTTCTTGTTTATTATTTAATTTTTTTTCCAGAAACATTTTAAGGGGGAAAAAACCTACTTTATTCATTTATGCTTCTTCCAGCAATGTATGAAAAAGTGCATTTTCCCAGTTCTGGGAGAAACTAGGGGTCTGGAGCCAAAGTTAAGGCTTGAATAAACCTAGAAAAATTAAAGACAGATAATCTAGTCTCTAATCTGGGAGAACTCTAGTAGGTTTGTAACACTGATCAGTGTTACCTAAGTGTTTAATCAGCTGTTAACTCTTTTACCTTCTTCTAGGTATAACCTTCTTCACTCCACCATAACCCCTTTCACAGTCATCTCACATAATTTCACATCATATCACCTTTTCCTCTTCCTGGCATTTCCTTTGCATTCCACCCCCAACCCCCACCTCATTTAATTTCCTCAAATTTTCTGTCTGGAGAAATCTCATTTGTTCCTAAAAATCAAGTTCAGATCTTTATTACCTTTTCTGAGAAGTTTTTCTTCATGCCAATGGTAAGAAGATTATTCTAACCTTTGTGCCTCATATTATTTATTCCTATATTATCATTATCAGACTTTGAGCTGAACAGGACATTATGTCAAATGTTTTTGAAAAAGAATAAAATACCCCTGTCTTCAGAGAATGAAAGGGAACACTTAAGACAGAAGAAAAACAGATACAAAAGCAGACATTACAGGTGATTTTTTTTTAAGTCACTAACAGGAGAGCTTTTATACCAAGTTTTTTCCCACCCTAACTGGGTTTAGATTTTATGGCTTATGCTCTAATCTTCAGATGAGGTGCTCATACACAAAGCGAGACATTCGTTTCAACCCAGGGAGGCATCCACACAGGATGTGGCACAAGCAGAGGCATGGAGGTGGGACTAAGTGGGCTGTTGTCGTGGGAGTTTCAGAGCTACAGGGAAAATGCCATGAAACAGGGTTAGAAAGGCCTGAGTGTTCAGGGAAGTATCTGGGAAGTAGCCTGCTGTAATGTGGAGTTGAGTTGTAGAGGAACAAATATTCTGAATCTTCTTCTTTTTTTTCCCCGTAGTACTGGATGAACGAATACACCTCATCCATTGGAATTGGAGTTTTTCATTCAGGAATTGAAGTATATGGCAGAGGTACGCGTACACACGGTCTAAATATACTTTCTGAAGAAATTTTTCCTTTAAAAGAGTTACAAAACCATGACTATAGCTCTTTTTTTTTTAAAGCACTTCCATACTTTATTGTAGAAAGTAGAAGAAAATCTCCCCATATTTGCTTATACTGTATTTTGGGAAAATGCCCCAAATTGAATGTATTTGGGGATAAAATACTCTTAAGTACACAAGTGAACATTGATTTACTTACCTTACATTCTAATTATTATGTCTTAAAAAATATTTTCCTTTTGAGATTGTTATACCATGACAGTTTTGCTTTAATGTATATTGGAGTTCCTAAGAAACCTTACACTTTGAAAAATAATATAATAAAAACAATTATTTTTGTTGGAAAAGTGGTGCCAAAGTGTCAAATGTGAAATACCAATTTCCTGAGGGAATTTCAGTAATAAATTTGCTTTTGTAGACCTACAAGTGTACAGTTACAATAAAGTTTTAAAGTATCACTGATCCTGCCTTTGATTACATCTAGCTTTTTGCTCAAGAGTAATGGCTTTTGTCATTAACTCAGCCCTTTTTATGCTTTATTACCCTTTATTATGATAAACATGACTGGAGCCACTCAAACCAAGCAGCTCTGTTTCAACAACTTTTTCCTTTGTTCTAATTTCCTGTCTTGGTGCAAGGTAACCTGATCGAGTTGTAAGTGTTAATGGTCTGCGCAAGACACATCACATTGCTGATTTCATCAAGGTTGACATGGTACACAGTTTGAATCATAACTCTCCCTATAGCAGAAATGCCTTTATTTGCTTCACCTAGGCAGTCTTTGTGATCTCTTAGAATGTGTTATTGCAGTTTACTCCTGGTTACCCCTGAAGACTTCTACCTGCTTTAGCTAATACAAAGAAAAGGCTCATTTACTTAAATGTGTCAGTGTGGTGTTTGTACTGTTCCTTTTTTATGCCAGATTAGCTGCTTCTAGGTGCAATGTACCATATTAAATGTGGCTATAAAGATCTGCCATTTAAGCTCCATTTTACTTGAAAGGCTGCATCTACCAAATAATCCCAAAAAGCAGTGAGGCTCCTGCTGAAAATTTCAGTGATTGGAGTATTACTGTGGGTGAAATCGTAGTGTGTGGGTTTGCTCCCTGTTTCACTCGGCTTTGCCAAGGCTGAGTGTATATTTCATTTTAGCTGAATTTATATGGTGTGTTACAGTTTTTTAAAGTGCCATCAAGTTTTGAACCAGATGGCCGTGCTGCTCTGAGCTAAAACTCAGCATGGGGCATTTTTCTCCAGTTTTCAGATGAGGAAACTGAAACTTGAATGTCACACTGCTAATAATTAACAAAACTAGGACTTGAACCCAAGTATTCTTATATACTAAGTCCATTGTTCTTTTATCTGCCTAATCACTGCTCTCATTCAAAAATAACCTAGGAACAATTAAAAACGTGGTTCAAAACAGCAAAGCTAGGGCCAGATATGTTCCTAAAAGTGAATTATTGCTTCTTGAATAGAAGAAAAATGAGTCTACTACAACTTTTCTTACTATAATTGAGAAAGTTAAAAATCTAAATCTTTCCATGTCTAACCTTATCTACAATGTTTTATAAAAATTCTATTAAATTTTTAATGTATATTTCAGAATTAAATGCTGCATACTTTCTTCTACATTAGTGCTTTTTTTTCTGAAAGGTCTGAATCAAAAGTAAACTTAGAATTGCCTTATTCTTAACCATGCTTTGTTCTAAGACCTTGTAAGATCATATTTAATAAATTTTAAGTGATGAGATTAACTTAAGCATATGTCTGGAATTCTTTAAATAAGTCAGTAAGATTTGTCATTTAAATATCTACCTATCTCAGAATTGTTGGAGATTTTAGTTCTTTCCTGGTTTGAAACCGTTCTCCATTTTTGTTCTAGATGAGAGTTTGTGTCTGATGACCAGGATGTGCATTCACTGTAGGGCAAGTAGCTCTCGTCTAGCTTTAGAGACGTGCTGTGGAGTGTGTGAGTGGGTGTACGTGTTAATTTTGCAGCTTATTTTTTCTTCAATGAGGGGAATTGAAGTTAGCTTTTCGGGTTTGTTAATGTTTCACTCCTACTCAAAGTTAAGCCAAGTCTTCATCCCAGGAACCATGAAAACTCATTGTTATTAGACAGTTTTTCCAGAAAAGTGCAAGCCTGAAATTTGATCACTTTAATTTAGAAGGTGTCAGAACACTGAACTGACCACCTACTTAGTTTGGTGTGATAGGTAAGCACAGAGACTTTATTCACTTTTGAGTGTTAGTCTCTCCTCCAGACAACATAAATATAGAAGTCAGGAGTACCTTTGAGCATCTTTAGTTATTAGAGTTTCAGGTCTTTTGTGTCAACTGTTCTGTACAAGTAATAGCTAAATGAGTTGTTTGTAAAAGCATTAATAAACTGAAAAATATTAGATGGTATCATTATCTTCATCATTTCTTAAAGCTGATTCAGCATTCTGGTTAAATTTTATGTGATAAATACTAAAAATCATGAGTTTTCTCTTTTCAGAATTTGCTTATGGTGGCCATCCTTACCCCTTTTCTGGAATATTTGAAATTTCCCCAGGAAATGCTTCTGAACTAGGAGAAACATTTAAATTTAAGTAAGTAGGGAGGATAATTTTTATTACACTGTCTTAGGTGCCAAAGCTTGGTTTCAGGCATACAGAATTCATTCTATAGATTAGTATCTAGGAAGTTAAAATGTTTCTTTAACATTGTTTTAGTTGCTGACACTTTAAAATCAAATCTATCTAAAGTGTGTAAAGATGGTAATCAGCCAGATAAAGTGCCTGAAATAAGCTAGTCTGTTGCTCTTACTCAGGACAAAGTTACTCTATTTTTCAGATGCTTTTTACCTTGGTGTAAGATTCTGCTTTAGAAAAACATTCCTATCTAATGATTGCTTCCCCTCGAGCTCCTATTTGGGGAGAGATAGAGGAAGGATTTATTGTGACCTACCTAACACTTAAAAATCTCTTCATTTTCCCAATTAAAAGGACACTGTTATAAACTTGAAATTACTAAACTAAAATAATTTGAACAGATTAGCCAAGAAACTATTGTTAAGGTGCATTTATTACATGCATTGCTAAACCTAAAACGTGCAGATATGAGTGTACTCTAGGGCCTTATGAGTAGTAAACAGCACTGAAAACCTGAATGCTGATGATTAAATTTCCATTCCTTAGTTAAGCTTTGTATTTAAAGTGGCACTTAGAATCTTAGTTTCAAGGAGCTTTAAAGAAACCTCTGAGCCTATAATAGTTAACTTGCCAAGTGAAAAATAGTAAAATGTGGTTGTAACATTGAAATTCAGTATAGGTTTGTATATTTTTATCACTAGTAGGTTAATGGTTCTCTTAGCCTATAGCTAATCTAAGTGCTATAATGCCACCGAGTCTTTTCCTTAGGACTCCTTTTTGTCAAGACTACTAGATAAAATGGTTTTCTAAGCATTTTCCGCTTTCTTGTATCTGACTAAAACTCTACTTTCTGTTGAATATCTATTGCATTTCCAGGCTAGTAGTTCTGGAGAGTTTTTTGTTTGTTTGCTTTTTGTTTTGTTTTGTTTTTGACTTGTTTCTTGGTTTGATGTATTTTTTTTGGTTTTATAATGCTTAAAAAAATTAGTCATTTGACAGTTCATCTCACTGCAACACTGCAGATAACTTAAGAGATTATTTCTGAGTGAGAATATGACCAGCCATTTGATGGCAAGTGTAATTAAGCAAGAATGTTTGCAGCATGGATCTGGTTCTCTGATAATGTAACTGCAAATGCAGTAGTAGTAAAAATAACTGTAGTATGACATTTTAATATAATGATACTATTTAATAAAGAAGATGACTTATTTTTCATTTGTATTATTAAGTAATGTGTTTAAGAGTTTATCGCTCTTAAAAAGTATAAGCTAAAATAATTGAGATTATTAAAGTTATCTCATTTGCCTTTTGGTTTTATGACATTAATCCTACTGTGTTACACCAGTCATAATATTCCTGGAAATAAGCAAGTACGTAAGCAAACCTGTAATACCTGTAACTCACATAGCTATCTTTTTTTTTTTTCTATTTGTTCTTTAAGAGAAGCTGTTGTTTTAGGGAGCACTGACTTCCTAGAAGATGATATAGAAAAAATTGTAGAAGAACTGGGAAAAGAATACAAAGGCAATGCCTATCATTTGATGCATAAAAACTGCAATCACTTTTCTTCGGCTTTATCAGAGGTAAATTAAATTTTATTCTAAAAGTTCTTCAAGTAAATAATATTTACTAGTATACTTACTATCCCACTATATTTAATCAATTTTTTTTCTGATTATTTATGTTATATGAAATACAGTATTTTAGGGGGTTTTTTGTATGAAAGGCCTTTCCAAAGTTGGTAACTTTAGAGTCTTTACAGTTTTAAATTGTAATTATGTTCATGACTTTCAGTGGATAGAGAGACTGAGGACAAACAATTGCCTCTTATTCTAACTCATTTTATTATGACCTCATACTTTCATTTTTAAAGATGACTTGTTAGCCACTAACATTTCTCTTTTTCTAAATTTTAGTTGCCAACTTGAAATTTTTTCTGGCTCTTACTTATTAATGAGTAATTCATTTCTCCTATCTTGAAATTTTACTCTGCCAATTTATCACACAGGCACTTACTTGGCTTACCAATTCTTGACTCCCAAGCAGAAGACCAAAACTAGATCCAAATTAAAGGACCTTAAAAAAGAAAATGGAGGGAAGAAGGCAAAAGATTACAAAATAAAGCCTAGAGAATTAAACAGCAGTTGAAACAGCTTCCCAGCTCTCTGACCCTAGCAGGTGGCTGTGGTGGGCACATCAGGCACCACAGAAGCTGTGCAGTGTGTGAAGGAGAGATGAGCTGCTCTTTCAGCGGCCCCTCTGCAGTGATGCTTAGCTGCCTGGCCCTTGTCACTTTCCCGTGGCTTCCACAGCACAGCTTTCAAACAGGACGACGGCACACTGTTGCTGTGCTTCTCAAATTATGCTTTGAGGACCAGCTGCTTCAGCATCACATAGGAGTTTGTAAGATACATATTATCTCTACCCCACCATAGATGTGCTGAGTCAGAACCTTCATTTTAACAGGATCCCCGGGTGATTCACGTGAACGTGAAAGTTAGAGGAGCCCCCAAGAGTCTAGCAGATGCAGTTGGTACCACCGAGGCGATCAAGTCAGTGTTCAGGGAAGAGGGAAGGTGCGTCTAAGCTTTCTTGACCCTAGATGTTGTATCTGTAGGGAGTGCATTCAAAGGTCCATAGAATGTTAAAATTAGCAGAGATTTTAGACATCTAATCCAGTCTCCTCATTTTACAGTCTAGGAAACAGGCCTTGACTGGGGAAATGACTTACCAAGGTTGTTACGGAGAACCCAGATGAGACACAGACTCCTGAGCTCAGTGCTTGTTGTGCGTCGTCATTACTTCCCCTGGTTCCGATTTATTCTCTCTCAAATAATTAATAGCTTTCTTGAGCATCTATAACACCACCTCAGCCCTGGTCTAACCGTAAAACCATGTTACAGTTGAGGGCCCAGAGAACAACTCTAGGTGTCCCTGGAGCCGTCTTTTTAGGTCACAGTTTTCATGCTTTCACCCGTGTGAGTGCTGAGTTGTTAAAGAAACAGACTCAAATTAGGTGACTTAGCCAAGGCGAGCCAGCTTGTCAGTGACAGAACTAAGACTAGAACTCTGGATAGTAAAGGAAAGTAAGGGACTGTTTTTACTAAACCCCATATAATCAAGTCAAACACATTTAATATTAGACATGCTTGAAAAGTTAATAAATCTAATGTACTTTCACATCTTTGATGACATAGTTTCTATGTGTGTCATGTAACCAGTTGCAGATACACAAAATCATAGATTACTTATAATTGATTGCTGGTATATGTAATCTGTTATTCAACATTTTTCCAAAAACTCTAAGAATTATCAACATTTAACATTATAGATACTGGTTCAGATGCTTCTCTACAGCAGGGATTAGCAAACCACTATAACCTCCACACCGACACCAGCCTACCACCTGATTTTGCACAGTCTGCAAGCTAAAGATGGTTTCTCCATTTTTAAAGGTTGGGTAAAGGCCAAAAGAAGAATATGTGGTGACATTTATAAATTATATTAAATTCACATTTTCATTGTGTATAAAATTTGATTGGGACACACCCACACTTTTTTTTTTTTAAGCAGTCACTTTTACTGTTTTCAGGCTGTAGCAGCATAGTTGAGTAGTTGTGATAGAAACCACAGGGTCTGCAAAGCCTAAAATATCTGTTTGGCCCTTACTAGATAGTTTGTCAGCCCCTACTCTTCATGTTAGATGGTTCAGATTGACTTAGACATTGAGGAAGTGTTTTGTCTCACAAAACAAGAAGTCCAGGATAAAGCAGGCTCCGTGTCAGTGTGGTCAGTGTCTCAACAGTGTGTGTCACCAGTGACCTAAGGCCTTTTCATCTCTCTGAGCTGCCATCCTTAGGCTGTTGAGCTGGCTCTGCCCTTAGGTCAGGCTAGCTCCCTTTATGGTTTTGAGGTAGTTGCAACAAATTTAGGCACCATGTCCAGATAACAACACCACCCAGAGAAAGAAGAAAACTGTCTCTCCCTTCTCTCTGAGGAACAGTGAGACTTTTTCTAGAACGTCCCACCCTTTCCAAAGCAGGTCACGTTTCATGGCCAGAATGGGTCAAATGCCTATTTCTAAACCAGTCACTAGCAAGAAGAATGGCATTGCCGTTACTAATACTACTGGTCAAAATGCCTTTTGTGAATTAATATTTTCAGTGGAAAATTCGAACCCTGAAAAAAAGTAGAGCAAATAATATAATGAGCTGCTGTATACCTATCACTTAGCTGCAAAATTATCAATCCATGGGTAATTTTGTTTCATCTGTAAGTACCAACTTGGAAATAATACTCTCATCCCTGGATTATTTTGAAATAAATCCCAGATATTTTATAATTCTTTCAATTATAAATGTTTTACTTTGTAGCTGTAAAGATAAGGATTCTTTGTAACATAACTACAATATGTTATTACACCTTAAAAAATTAACATTCATTCCTTAATATTATTCAAATATACAATGTGGTAATTTCCCCAACAGTCATAGTTTTTTAACAGTTTGTTTGAATCGGATCTAAATAAAGGTCATACTGCTTGTTACCCTGAGGTTCAGTCCACATAGGAAAGGTAGGATGGATCCTTGAGTCTCTTCCTTTACTTAACAGTCTTCAAAAAATGAATTGGTTCCTGTGCTATGCAGAAAAAAGTTAACATAGCCGGCTTCAGATTGCTGTCCTCAGGAAGCAGGGTTGGTCTTTGGCCGGCATCTGGGAACTTGGATTTCAGGAGGGCTCCCACGGTTCCCAGAACTGAGTGGCTCATGATTCCTTACCTATTTGTTTAAGCAATTTGGTTTATGCTGAGCATCTGCTTTTTCTCTGGGAATCTGGAATTTTGGTACTTTCTAGACTGAGGATGCCTTTGTGACCAGTCCCCAACAAAAGCCTTGGGCACTGGGTCTATATTGAGTCTCCCTGGTAGACAGCACATCACATGTGTGATCACAGCCCATTGCCAGGGGAATTATGGGACCCATTTGGGAGAGGTCACTTGAAAGCTTACTGCCTGGTTTCCTCCAGACTGGCCCCTGTGCCTTTTTTTTTGCCTTCACTGATTTTGCTTTATATCTTCTGCTGTAATAGGTCATAGCCTTGAGTTTGACTATGTGCTGAATCCCATGTGTCCCAGCAAATTATCGTACCTGGGTCTTGTGGACCCCCGATACAGTCAGCATCAGAAGTGGGGTTCACTGGAATGACCCTGATTCACAGAGCTGTGACTGCTGGACTGTGTGAGGGAAGAAAGGATGAAGTGGGGGTGTCTGGCAAACCTTTTGCGCCTGGGTGGCTGTGGAGTCATCTGTGATGTGAAATAGCAGTTGAGCTGCTGTCTGCTGTGAGAGGTGAAAGGTACCTGCCGAATTAGAAGATGACAGGTCAGCTCCAGGAGAGCCGAACGTGGGGACAGCAGCGCAGCCAGTGGGTTCCCTAGGCTTTGTTCTCCCCTCCGGGTGGGAAGGGGAGAGGCCCCAGAATGTCCCAAGTTGAGCTGTGGGTGAGCCAGAAGTGCTGCACGTTTGTGTTGCTGTCTTGTCCAAGTGAGGAGGAGGGTGAGGAAATCAGTTACAGAGCCGGAGCAGAGGGAACGTGGAGAACAGGGACACTCCAGTCTTTTTTCACCCCCACTTTGGTCTCCCCAGGGAGCTGTAGTATTAAACCTGTAAATGCTGTATTTATTGCTAGGAGTTTGAGTAAATTTGCAGTGAGGAAAAAAGGAAGGGTTTTGTGTGTGTGTGTGTTTTTTAATGGCTTTATATTTTGTGGTTATTGCATCTATGGATATTGATAGGAATTGATATAAAATGTTTTTTATGCTTATAATTTCATAAATCATGCAGGGATTGTCTCAGTCAGGAAATGCTGCAGAGAAAAAGTGGTAGTGGGACAACTGCCTTGCTTGTTTCTGCCATCGGGTGGATGAAATTTAAGTTTTTTGATTATTAAAAGAAAATAAGACTCAAAAAAAAGTCTCCATAAGTGATTGTTTTTACTATGATTTTGTGCATTGCAGCCTCTGGAAAAAGGGGGACAACATAAAAAGAGTCTCCAGATGGAAATATACTTCTAAAGTTTTAAAAGGCAGTTTTAGTTGCTAATGAGCGGTTGTAAAAATCTGATGTCTGACATAGAAGCTGATGATTTTTCAGCCTGATTTGTGTATTTTTGAGTGGATCTTAGAAAGGGCTTAGGAAACCCTTGCTTATTGCTTGAACTCAGAAACTTGGCTCTCTGGCCCTGTAGCATCTCGGCTTTATTGCTGCCAAAGAAGAGCCCTTGGCTCTTTTTGAAATCCTCAATTCATGCCCATAATTGCCTAGACTTGACTCTTAAGCTAAAACCTAACATAGCCTGCTACACACTGCGCTGTGTCAGCCTCAGCACGAGCTGGGCTAACCTGAAAACACGTATAGGCCAGGGAACAGAACTTCTGCTTGGGCACCGTTGCAGATTTAGGACACCCATCTCTGGAGCCCTAAACTACCCAGCCATCATGAAGCGGTGTCCTTGCGGGTGTCCGCAGGGAAGGACTCCTTGCTTCATTGGGATCATCTGAAGTTGAGCTGCTGATCAGCTCTGTGTGTCTCGTACAGAGACTGATTACATTCCTAACTTGATGGTTATTGCCAAAAGCTGCAAGTTGGAGGGAGGCCCACCACCAGGACTGTAACGCCGCCACCAACTCCTGACAGAACCTACCCTCGGCCCCCTCTCAGGGGTGGTGCACCGCAGGTCACTTAGTGACTTTCTGGAGTAGTTGCAGTTTGCAGCAGTGGACTGGTAGCCTAGCTGTCCTGCCGTCCCTCCTGTCTCCGGTGCACACACCTTCCTAAGGTAGTGTGGTTACGACATGCAGCTCTCCATCCCCAGGATCAGGAGGAGATGTTCTAGGCCGTTCACTAGATAAATGATTAGGATGAAAGGAGTGAGTGGCTATATAAACCCATTTTGAAATTTTCTGAAGATTCAGAATTTTTTTTTTGAAGATTCAGAATTTGATCCAATTCCCAATATGATGTGTATCTGGTTAAATTACATAAAAATATTTTCCTGTCAAAACTCTTTTGTGCCTCTTTTATACTTTTCTTCCAGACAAAAGGTCTGGATGAGAGTAGGGGATAATTTTTTAAACGTAAGCTTATGATTGTTAAATGGGGCACACTGATTTTGTAGCAACAAAACAAAACAAAACCCTGGCACCTGGGGAGGAGATTAGGCACCAGGAAGTCGTTAATACTCTTTGTTTCCCATACTGCCTTTTTCCAAAAGAAAAACTGTACGTTCTGCCTACCTCGGCTGCTGCAAGCACCTTGAATTCACACAGGCCACTGAGCCTGTGATGACAGTGACAGTCCTGGCTGCGAGACAGCAGAGGGTGACCCAGCTCCTGCACATCCCACACCAAACATGCCTGGGTGTTTTCCACACTCACGAGGCTGAGAACCTTGTGTCACAGACAGACAGAACCGTCTGGATCTGACTGCCTCCAGGCAGTCCCTCTGAATCCAAGAGTCAACTCAGTTTTCAGACTAAATGAGAAAGCCTAGAGCAGAGGCTCTGTCTGAATCCACTCAGGCTGCTCTCACAAGATACGACTGAGTGGCTTGTAAACAATAAAAACTTTTTCTCACAGTCTGGAGGCTGGGAAGTCTCAGATCAAGACACTGACAGACTTCAGTGTCTGGGTAGGGTCTGCCTCCTAGTTTACAAGCCATCTTCTCACTGTGTCCTCCCATGTGGAAGGGGTAGGGGAGCCCCCAGATCTCTTTTATAAGGGCTCTAATCCCACTCATGACCTAATTCCCTCCCAAAGGTCCCACCTCCAAATACCATCCATTGAGGATTAGGATTTCGACATAGGAATTGGGGGGGAGGCACAAATATTCTGTAGCCGGCCCACAGTGCTCAACCATGGCGGGAAAGCACCCTGGAGGCCTTTTAAACCTGTGCTGCCTGATTGATGTTTGCCCTCTGGCGGGTGCCCTCTGTGTGTACCCTGACTGTCGTGACACTGCCTCAGCCCCGAAAATCTTCCAGGTCAACTTCAGCTTACTGGCCAGAGTTGTGCTGTGCCTAAATTGGTGTCTCAGACCAGATAAAGAAGGTTCATACCAAAACTTGAGGAGGCCACCAGGGTTTCTAAAATAAACCTTTATGGTTAATTGGGTTTGTTTTAACTGGCTAAGTCCAGGACCCCTGAAGGATATAACTAAGAGCAGTACTTCCGGTTGGTCTCACTGCTATATGGGGTCCCTTGATAATTTTTGCTGTAATGACAGCTTGGCTAAGGGGATGGACTGTGAAAAAAAAAAAAGTTAAGAAAGCAGGCTGGAGACTGCTATCCTTAAAAAGGCCTGTGTGCAAAGTTCCCCTTGGCTGCATCTGAGAACTTGATTTTCTGGAAAGTTCCCACCATTCCCAAAACAAGTAAGTGTGGCTCACTGTGCCTGAACCATTTGTACAACAGTGTGATTTATACTAAACCTGTCTTTGGTTCTGGGAATCTCCAGTTTCCGTACATGCTAGGAGAGGGTTCCCTCCGTGACTGGGCCCAACTGAAAACCGTAGGAACTGGGTCTCTAATGGCTCCCCGAGCAATCTCTTCACGTGTGTTGTCACAGCTCCTTACAGGGGGAATTAAGTGAGTCCCATGTGACTCCAGTGGGAGAGGACCTTTGAAAGCTCGTGCCTGATTTCCTCTGGGCTTCACCCCGGGTGCCTTTTCCCCAGCTGATTTTGTTTTGTGTCTTTTCACTGTAATAAATCATAGCTGTGAATACAGCTATATGCCAAGTCCTGTGAGCTCTCATAGCAAATCATCTAACCTGCAAGTGGTCTCAGGAACTCGCAGTGCAGTTCCCTAGCATTCTCCAAAGGTAACACATTTTTTTAAGTTTATATAATTATTCTTATATAATCCATATTCTTATATGGATTCCCCCCTCCTCCCCAGATTTAAAAATATTTGATATATTTCAGCTCAGCGTTCCCCCAGATCTAGTTCACACACATAGTCTTCAGGTATTTTTAAGTCGTGTCTTCCTCTTTGCTTCCAGGCCAGGTAATCAGAAACAATGGAAACATGTCACCTTCCCTCCAGTGAGACCATCTCACTAGCACTGTAGTTAAGACAGAGACATAGTTTTTAAATGTAGCCATTAAGTCAGAGGGCTGAAGCTTTAGGGAGAAAGGTTACATTGCTTGATTATAGGTGCCGACTTATTTACATTTTAGCTAATTTTTGGACATAAGATACTTTGAAACCAGCTAAGCTAAGATGCATGGTACTTCCAGATGATGATTATAATCTTTGACATGATTGGAGGCAAAAACACCACAGGGACAGTAAAGCATGGACTCAGCTAAGCCCAGCTTTGATGGCAGAAGGGAGAGAAGGTAATAAAAGAGTCAAGTTAGCATTTAGCATTATAGAAGACCCAGTTCTTACTTTTGAAACAGGGAAGAAAAAAAAAAAAAGAAGGGCTCAGGAGTCCAAAGACCAGGATAAGGATGAGAAGTGGGCAGCAGCTGGGAGGGATTCTCCTGACGCCACCACCCCCAGCAGAGTCCTCAGACTGAAGCTCAGCCGGGCTCCGGCGCCCTGCCCCAACCACAGCCCCCCTTCCACTGCAGGGTCATCCCTCCAGGTCTTCATCTGGGGAGAACTTCTTTCTCAGCCAGTATGGGCTCCTTAGAAAAAATAGGGCAAAGATGGAGGCAAAGGGATCAAGTAGGAGGCAGGGGAAATGCAGTAGAAGATACTGGGGGGAAGTAGAAAACAACCTGCGAAAAAGAGGATTCACAGGTAGGAAGATAACCCAAGACTGACTGCTCTGCCTGCAGCTTCTGTTACTCTGATGTCTTATGTTAACAAGTCTTGTCTTCTGTGTATTCAAAGTACTTTCACATGTGCATCAAAGCAGTTGCAAAGACCAAAGAAGAAAGAAGCCAAATGGAAATAGCTTGATATCACAGATACAGAAAGTAAGCAACTTAGTAAGGTTCTTCAGAAAGGAAGGAACGGAGCTGACCATATGGGGGACCCCAGGCTTTCGTGTTAGGGAGCTGCTTGTTGTCAAAGGCCTGCAGTTACAGCGCCGAAGGCTAACGAGCAGTGGCTTTCTGGAACATCGGCCTCCCTCCCCAACCCTCTGCTCCTTGGCAGTGGACCAGATAACCTCAACCCCTCGCCTAATGCAATACTCTTTCTCTGTAGATACTTTGTGGGAAAGAGATTCCTCGCTGGATCAATAGACTTGCCTACTTCAGCTCCTGTATACCCTTTCTACAGAGTTGCCTCCCAAAGGAGTGGCTCACTCCCGCAGCCCTGCAGTCCAGCGTCAGCCAAGAGCTCCAGGACGAACTGGAGGAAGCGGAGGACGCTGCCGCATCCGCGTCCACGGCCAGCACCGCAGCCGGCTCCAGGCCCGGGCGCCACACTAAACTATAGATGTGTCCAAAGTCCCACATTCAGAACTGTCTCTGGCAGCTGAATGCCACTAGAGAAAAGTAAAAGAGTAAGCGTCCTTTGGATATTTTGTATGCAAAGATGGCTCTCCTCCAAATCCCAGTTTTTCAGCTCAGGATTATATTTGTAATCAAAACAAATCACTTGGCGCAGGAGGGAGAACTTTGTATGAAGCTGCCCTCTGTTTTTTTTACCCACTTGTAAATTGGGGTTTACTTCTTCTGTTTTATACAAGCTCTGTTAAGTTATGTTTACAGTATTTTGTATCGCTGTTTACAAATCTTGCATGGACTCCTGCCACCATGAAAGAAGAAAATCTTCATGTCTTCAAAAATTAGGCAGGTAATCTTTGTACACTTCTGATAATTGCCTGAACTACGGCATAAATAATAGGCACAAAGGAAGGTTCTTACACAGTCAGTCACCATCACCTGCTTAAGAATCGTCTTTTAGGTTTGTGGTTTGTTTCTGTGAACGTTTTGTTTTGGCGCTAGGATGCAGGGAGGTGAAGGGGCACGCACAGCCCTGAGGGCTTGTGACCTTGATCTGCGCGAGAGGTGCCCAAGCCTGGGCCGAGTTCCTCTCAGCGCCCCCGCCCAGAGCACCACATCTCCTGAGGTTCCCATCAGACAGTGGCTTACATCCCCAGATACCCGTCCGCCTGGGCGGGGTGGTACACTCCTGTGTCAGTCTGGCTTTGATGCCTCCGACTCTGTAAGTAAGATGTTTTTCGTTAAAGATATTCTTGCTAGTAACTGATGGGTGTTTTTGCACATGTGTTGAGGGGCTTTTTAATTTAATACGTGTTGATACCTTCCCTACAGAGGATTTTGCTGATGGGGTAGGAATATCCTAGGTAGCAACCTTCTGAGTAGCAGTGTGAGTTCATTCAGCTGCTTTTAACTATTCAAGCTACCTTTTATACTTAGACCTTGAAAGCTGGAGTCTAAAGTAACACTCTCCAAAAACTTAATCCTTTGCTATTTTAAAGATTTTACATACCACATCAGAAAGTTGGTTTGCTTTGGGAGTAGTTGCCCCTCGTAACAGAAAATCTAGTCTCATTGACTCCTTGTTGAAAAATCATATTTGTGTGTCTTAAAATTCATCTTTTTCTGTTCCCTCAAATGTATGTCTCTTACATAACATACTCTAAGAATGAAATTGTCACCACAGATAAGTCCTCGTTAGCAAGGAATCTCTCTGCTCAAGTCTACTCCCAGTTTGACCCTTGGAGGTAAGAGCCAAGTCATTACATGTCAAACTCAATTTATCTGCCTTAAGAATGAATGTCCTACATAAAATATTGGATGCAGTGTATAAATTATCCAAGGCAGTGACTTCAGCTTTATATATATTGTTAGTTTTAAAGTCATCTACTTTTATTTAAACTTCTAGATTGGACTATTTGCTATTGCTGTTTGTAAAGATACATATCTTTCAGTAAACTACATTTTTAACTTTTCCATAAGCTACTTTTGATTCATTTTATCAACTTAAGCACACCCTGTTCATGGGGAAAATAAACCTTGGGTTCAACCTGAGGGAAATGAAGCCACTTTACCTAATTTATGCTTTTGACTGTTCTGTTTCTGGAAAGGAAAGCCTTTAGAAATTATTCTCAATTTTTTAGGGGGGCAGAGCACTTGTTTTAAGAGATGTGACAGAAAGGAATATATGATCTTTATGGCAAGTTGACTCAGTTCAAGTCTAGCAATGAGATTTAGAATAACGTGCTGAGACTCCAGCAGTGAATTTGTTCACTCAAAGAAGAGTCCTGTTACCGTAACCCAGGTTAGTGGAAAATGTCTAGCGCAGTTTGCTTGGGATTTTTAAAAATAATGTGGTGGATTCCAGCTTTTTCTAATCCACTTGATTATACCTGATTTTAAATCTGTGCTACTGACACACATGAAGGAGTGGTCATTTTTTTAGCATTTCTTGGTGAAGAGCCAGGGACGTTCCACCTGTGCTTCTCCAGAATCCAGCACCTCAGCACACAGATGATTTTATTGTTATTTTGTTGTATTTACCCTCACCTGCAGCATTTGGAGTTCAAAAAGAGTGTTACGGGAACTAGTAAAAATAAATAGTGGCCCAATAGTGTACAATCAGCAGATGAAGTTCTGGACATGAGACTGTTTGCAGTCTCGTACTTGAGGGTGAGGAATAAAAAGAATGTTTTTACTTTAGAAAATCTCATTTAAGTCAGTTCCTTCACTGCAGTTTAAAATAAAGAACGAATTTAATTAACTAGAACTTAGCCAGCTTTCCCTTGCCCTTGAAGGAAGAGAATCTTGTTCTTGACCTGATCTCTAGTAAGAAAAATCCTATATCAGAAATCCGGTCATCAAGACACCCGTGATGTGATGGTGTCAGGGTTGCTCTTTGTAGTTTTAACCAAGTGAAACATTTCTCACGGTAAGTTGGACAGTAATACAGTGTTAAGAGGGTCAGAAGCTGCTGGTTTCTACTGTTTGTTTTCGGTGCTCTTGGGTTCTTTTTTTCCGAAGCCTAGGAAGGGAGCATAAGCTTTGGAAAGTGTGGCTTATGGAATTGCAGAGGGTAGTGCTGCAGCAGTAAAGACAGCCTCCACTTGATGCCAGAAATCCAGCCAACTATTGCTCTGACCCACAGCAATAGCGCACGTTACCTTCACCAGCATTTGTACAGAGCAGGGAGTTCTGGTTTTAGCCCACTGATAGCATTGCGTGTGTGGCCGAGGAGATACAGCTCTACAGACAGCTGCAGGACTCTATATCCATGGCTGCTTTCCATCACAAAACGGGTAGAAACACATCCACTGCTTCAGGGTTCTAATCTGTGTGTCTTCTTACGGCTCCATTTCTACAAGGTACTCTGTAATTTTGATACACGCTGTATTTTCTTTCAGTGACTACGTTTTAAAGGCTTGGGTTTTATTCAGCAAGCTGGCCATACTGCCACTGTATCCCCTTCCCTTTCAGATGGTTTTCGAGTGCAGCTCAATCGTTAGACTTTCATTGTCTGCTCAGTCGATACACATCTTCACTGTTTGAAAGGTGTTAACAGCTGTTAAAGAATCTTCATGAACCTGAGGATAATTTCTTGTGAAGTTTAATGCAAATGTACTGTCATTCATAGTGTTTATATAAAAAATACCAGGAATCTTCACTTTTGCTACCTTGATATAGCATTGGGCTATCATGTTAACAACATTGAAATGCATCAATTTATTAAAAAAATACTTTTATAAAAAATGCTTTATAGTGCTTTCTGACCTCCAGGAGATTGCAGCTGTTATGTATTTGCCTTGGGGGGTAAGAGGGGTGGGCCGGGAGGTTATTTTTGAAACTCAGAATCTGATCTGCTCTACAGAGACGTAGCCGGCCCTTCTCCGTCATATATTCCTCATGTATTTATTTGCATGTTCATTTACTCCCCTGTATTCCTCTTGAGCTCGGTTCCATGGGCCAACTCCTTAACTGTCAGAGAGCATACCGCATTGCCCACAGGCAGTGGTGCCCGCCCGCCTGCTGGGGAGTGGAGGCGAGACTGGGAAGGGAGAACAGGCCCTCCTCTCTCCACCAGGAGAGCAGGGGAGGAGGCCTGCAGGGGAATAGCCCCGCTGCCCACACACCCACTCCCCATCCGAGAGCATCAAGCAAGCAGGAGCCCGAGTAACCGGGCCCCTCATTTCTTACAAACTCATCCTGCTTCAGCTTAGCACCTCCGGCCTGACCCTTCCCCCTTCTCCATTGACCATTTCGAACCTAGCCAAGTAATACTTCACGAATTCAAAACTTCTCTCGAGTTAAGTGTTGTTAAATAAACAATGGTGGTCTTTCATGGTCTGTCAATGCCTGTCCACTCTGCGAAGTAGGAATGGTCTACAACTCATTTGTTCTCAAGGACGGGAACCAAAGGGGAACATCCCCCAGTCTAAACAGGTTAATAGACTGTAATGAGTTGGCCACCAACCCAGATCTGGCAAAGCAGCTGGGCTTGCCTGTAGAAAAGGTGCTAGAGCGCCTGAGGGGCACTGGTCTTTTCTTCCCCATTATTATCTACTCCTGAAGTTCTCCTTGTCACCCAGACATTGACCTCATTCCAAGTGTGCGGAAGTCTGTGCCGATAAATATATTCCAAGAGGCAGACGAGTCAGGCAGCTACTTATTTCTTTGTGGATTCTGAACCCTCTCAGGCTTGTCCCTTTGACCCTTTCCCCTAAAGGAAAATCCTCCCAAAGAGGACCATGCCTTGATCCTAGTTTCCTTCTTGTCAAGGCCAAGGGGAAAGCGAAAGTTAGGGGCCTCCTCTCAGTCTCATCTTGGTCAGGGAGGCATCTATTTCCCAAGGCTAGATGGGCGCGCCTGGGCTCTGCGGCCCTAGCCTGAGCGGGAGGCTTTGTGGGCCCAGTCACGAACGTACCACCCCTCTGCTGCCAGCCTCTGACCCCCTCACTCAGAAACAGTTGCCTGGTTCTACCAAATACTCCTGGCCTTCGTGGTCCTCAGTCAGGGGAGCCCTCGACTGCCGGCCTGTTTCCTTCACACCCCTAGCTCCCAGGGCTCAGTGGGCTTCAGTGCCTGGGCCCCTTCAGATGCTTGTGAAGCTGCAGCCATGCAGAGGGAGCCACGTGCCTCAACAGGCTGTCCCTACAGGCGGGTGGACTCAGGAATAGAGTGGCCAGTCGCTAAGCCTGACTCCTCAGAGGGAGGGCAGGAGGCCTGCTCTAGTCCACGCTGGGAAAGGACTTCGCATTGGGCAGAGCAGTGAGAAACAGAGGCGACAAGGGGAAGCAACTCAGTCCACCTGGGACCCTCAGTCTTGTGGCCAGTGATTATCCACCCAAATAGGGACTGGTATTTTCGATTACAAAACTGAAAAAAGAAAAATAAGGGAGCCAGGGAAGCCAGCCCCAGACCCAAACACAGAAGACTCCCGTGCCTTCCTCTCCCACTGCGTCAGTGAGTGGGCACCCCAGAGCTGCCCTGCAGGCAGCTAACGCCACAGAAGGCCAGTATGCCCACAAACATGAAAACATGTCACGTGGAGTCTGGAAAGCCAGTGGGTTTTGTGGACAAGACAGTGAGGAAAGGGTCCTTCCTCCTACTGTGCCCCCGCCATGTGCTCCTTGGGCTATTCATTTAATCATCACAACAGCCCCCGTACATCATTCCTGCTTTACATAAAAAGAGCTAAGTGGTTAACAGCCCAAGGAGTAGCTACCTAGACGCCCCTGATGCACTAAGGATTCTGGACTCTTGTTTGAACCGATTATCCACTTTCCTGTGAGACACCACCAGGCAGCCATCCCTGTCTGTTTGCTTTAGATGGCCTCGGGTCCAAGCTCTGGGTCCTCAGCCCCAGTTTCTCCAGGCATGCCGTCACCTGGCCAGCCCTCCTCTTCGTCCTCGCTGGCCCCCTTCCACTGTGCCCTCTGGAACTCCCAGGCTGTGATAGGAAAATGTCTAGTAGCTGCCACTTTTTCAAAGGTTTCTTGACACGTCTGCTTTATCTGAAACCCACTTGTCTCTGCAGTGCTCTCTCCCTCAGGGTTTATGCCCTTAGTCTCCCATTGCTGCTTCCAAATAATTTCTCCTCTTTGCTTCCAAACCTCCAGCTCCACTGAACCCGTGCTGTCCAGGTCTACGAGCCACTCCCCGATAGCTCTCCTCTGCTGTCTGTCTTTGGCTCTCTTTCTCTCCACCTTTTTCCTGTCATCAGTGACTTTGCATTCAGACAGGTGACCCATCCAACACCCTAGCCCAGTGTTTCTCAGCTGGGGTTCTGTTGCCATTGGGATAGGACGATCCTTTGTGCTAGACAGTCCTGCTCATTACAAGCATGTGGCATCTCTACACTCTGTTCACTAGTTACCAGCATTTTACCCCCTCCTCAGTCATTGCAGCATCAAATGTCCCCACACATTTTGCCCCCAGGGGGTAGGCAGTCCTATCCCTGGCTGAGAACTGCTGTCTGTGTCTCAGGGTCCTGATCTCACTTCTGCCACTCAGACCTTAGACTCATTATCACCAGTGACTGCATCTCTGATAACGTCTTCATTCCAAGCATCTCTGATCACCGCCTAACTTCCCAGCTCACCTGCGTACCCGCAGGTCAAGTCTTTGACCTCATCAAGAGCCCACGTCCACTAAATTTGCGCTTGCTTTACTAATATCACTTCCCCCGCCCTCTTCATTCTTCTTCTTCTCACCCAGCCTAAATTCCACGGTTGGTAATCAACTTGTTGCCTTCTCAGGATCCTCCATTTCAGTGCTCTTCCTCCCTTCATTGCACGGGCTGGCAAACCCAGCCCTGCTCAGGCCCGGACCTCCCTGGGTCTGTGCCGGGTCAGCTGACTGTTGCCGGGGCGAAGTCACACCACTGGGCGGACCGGTTTGATCTCACTGTTCCTGTCTCTCAGCACCACGCTCAGTTCCCTGCAGGCCTCTTGTAACTCTGCCCACCTACTCTCCTGGATGACACTCCAGCTCTCTCTTCAAACCTCCCACACGTTCCTCACACACATTTCAGTTGAGAACCTCACCTTGTACTTCATTGAAAATAGAGACAATTTAGGCAGTTGACCTCTGTATTGGGGGAAAATACCCAGTTCTCCCTCTGTGTTTCTCCTTTACTGTCACACAGAACACTTCACTTGTGACGCTTCTGTCACCAAACGTATCGGGGTTTTCCCCACACCAAGCGATTCTCCACGACACCAGCTGGTTGTCCTCCAACTCGGTTCTGACACTACCTACCTGGAGATGGCATCAGATCCCACAGTTAAGGGCTCAGTCCCACAAGACTGCCCCCCCACTTCAGATGCCAGTCGCTAGTAGTAGGTCCCAAGGTTACCCACAATTTCTGTCCAACTTGGCTACAAATCAGAGGTTCCCAGAACCACACCCTCCTCCTCAAATTTGATTGATTTGCTAGAGCGGCTCCCAGGACTTAAGGAAACAGTTCTATTTACCAGTTTATTAAAGGATATGATTTTTTTAAATATATATTTTTAACATTTTTATTGATTTATAATCATTTTACAATGTTGTGTCAAATTCCAGTGTTCAGCACAATTTAAATATAGGTGAACAGTCAGATAAAGAGATGCACATGGTGAGGTCTGAGAGCGTCCTGAGTGCAGGAGCTTCTGTCCCTGTGGAGTTGGGGGTGTGTCACCCTCCCGGTGTGCAGATGTCTTCAGCCACCTGGAAGCTCTGTCAACCCAAACTATTGGGATTTTGTGGAGGCATCTTCACATAGGCATGATCAATTACTAACTCCATTTTCAGCCCCTCTTGCCTCTTGAGAGAACTTTGAGGTTGGGGGAGGTTGTAAAAATTCCAAGCTTCTAATCACACCTTTGTGGTTCTGGTGACCAGCCCCGATCCGGGAGCCTTCAGGTACCCCCTCAGAGTGGCCTCAGTAAAACAAAAGATGCTCCCAGTGCTCTCATCACAGGGATTTTCACAGATTTGGGGGGTTCTGTGCCTGGAATCAGGGCCAAAGATCAATACATATATTTTCTACTATCTCATGACCTCCAATTTTCCTGTCTACATACTCATCTGACCTTGTTCGCAGTCACTGTCCCTGTTACAATGGGAATTAGTCCTTACTGTTTTCAAAGGCCAATCCTTCCCCTGCCACTACATCCATCTGCTCTCATCTCTCAAGGACTTGCTCCAACATGATTCCTTCTCTCCTCTGAAGCATCAATTTCCCTTTCTCCACTGGATCATTCCTGTCAGCATAAAACATGTTCCATGGTTTCTCAGCTAAAACCAAAAACCCAAACCAAACCCTCCCTTGACTCCCTCATCCTGAGCAGGGCAGCATTTCCTTATTTCTCTCCACAAGCAAAGTTCATGAAACTTCATATCCATTCACTCTTATAAACAACATTTTTGTTTACATATACATGTGTATATATATATACATATGTATATATGAAAGAATATATAGGATGTATACGTACAGTTTGAAAAATAACAAAATGAACACCTCTCTGTACCCACCACCCAGCTTAAAACATAAAACATCAGCAGAATCTCAGAAGCACCAGCTCCCTCCTGATCTCTTCCTCCTCCCTCCACTGCAGGGATAACCGCTATCCTGAACTCTGTGTTAATCATTCCTTTGTGCTTTTTTAATGGTTTTTAATACCCACATATGCATCCCTACACAGTATATTATTTGGTTTTACCTATTTTAAAACTTTATATAAATGGAATCACTTGGTATATGTTTC